AAAAAAAAAAAAAGAAAATTGTAAGATTATAAGAGTTAAAAAAATGAGAAGGTACAATATTTGCAGAAATGCTGACAAAGCAAATTAGCAGATTGTACCGTGCTGTACCGTTTGTTTTTGAACAGTATATTTGAACAAAAAATACTGTTCTATGAGGTGATAAAATTTGCTGTAAAAAGAAATGTTGTCGTTTCTAAAATTGCAACAATACAAACCACCCTCTCCAATAATTTTTTTATTGGATTCTTTAGGTTTACTTGTTCATTTATGCTGACTTTTTTCTTTTTTTTTCTTCGTTTTTAGGTATTTGAAAAACTTTCAACTTTTATATAGGTATCAAAAATGACAGAAAATGATTAGTGAACAAAAACTGCTTACATCTTTTTGGTGGTCACCAAAGGTGCTGCTGACTGTATCATCATCGTTGATTGTGCTTCACAAATTTTTGGCCAAATCTATCCGATACCGCTAAAATTGTGCATGTATTCGGTAAACGATAAGGTGCCAAATCTAATTTAACATCTGCAAAATATTTGAGCGAAAAAAACAAAAAAAAGAAGCGTTTGCTGATGATGGTAACAAATTTTGATTGTTCAACTGATCGCTTTTTTTTTAGTTCAACTGATACATCATCGGTCAACTGATACCACTTTTTTTTTTTCGTTTGCGGTATTTCTTACGCTGAAGATGAAAAAGATTAAAAAAAAAAGTTGTTTCTGTTGACCATCGGTTATTGTTATTTCAGTAAATTTACAGGGGGGGTTAATTACTGTCTTAAAACAGATACAAAAAATGCTAAAAAGCTTTTTTTTTGTTTTGTTGTTTTTACATATGCTTATTGTAAATTATAGCAGTAATTGGTTTTATAAGCAAAATTATAAGCTACTTTCTTGCTTTATATTTCTTTTGTTTTTTTTTTCTGTTTTTATTTAGGATGATAATTATGGCGACTATTTCACTGCTATTCCATTGGAATTGCTGCTAAAAATCTTTAGCAATTTGACAAATGCCGATGTCAAAAAATGTCGACTGCTATGCAAACGTTGTAATACAGTGATTGTCAAAAATCGTAACTGTTTACCGCGACCAGATGTTTGGTGTCGAATTTTGGTGAATTCAGATTCCACTGCATGGTTACAGTTACGGAAACTACTTGGACATACTGTGTTCACAGCATCGGCATGCAATTTTATGTACACTTATTCATATTTTAATCATTATAAAAATTAAACTTTAATAGATTTATTTAAAAAAATGTTAGTACTTTCTTCCTCTTTTTTTAAGGTTTATAAAATCCGAAAAAAAAACTGTGAACTATAAATTTCATTAAGAAATTAAAAATTGCAATTGTTTACTGTGTTCTTTAACTGCCAAACAGTTCGGTTATTCAATTGATAAAAAAAAAATTTTTTTCAAATAAAAATAAAAGTTAAAAAATCAAAAAAAAAATTTTTTTTTTTGCAGTTTATTTCAGTAGATCTGATTTGGTAGAGAAAAATGATTAAAGTTAATGTACAGAAACACTATTAAGGTTTAATGAAATATTACCTGTTAAACTTTGAGAAAAGTTAAAAAAAAAAAACAAGAGATTTTCTATGATTACTAAGTGATCTTTCTAAAGTTTTTATTGGAAGTTTAGTTTTGATTGAAAAGTAAAAAAAGGTACTTTTTCTAATGACTATACTGAATAGAAATTTTTATTTAGTCATTGAGTGAAATCACCGACTGTGAATGTAGTGGTGTCTAATTGCGAATAGACTAAAATTTGGGAGATGAAATACAGTTGGTAAAGTTGAAATGTGGACGAGTAAAAATAATCTAAAAAAAGGAGAGAACAATTTGTTAAACTTCAAATTTCGAAAAAAAAAAGATTTTTTAACAATCAGTTCTGTTTTTTTTTTCTGCTTGAAAAAGTGAATAAAGAGTATTTCTTTGATTCCCAATCAAAATTCTTCCTTTTCACTTTTTCTGAATATTTAGTATACTTAAGAAAAAAAAAAAGATTATAGACTGAAAACTTGTTCCACAGTCAAATGCTTAACACTAAGAATTTACCGTATAGATGGCAGCTTTCTTTTTTTCTTTTACGTTTTATTTTAGGTCTAAGAAATGAGTTCTCCAGTTTTTTTTCACTTGTGAATTTTTATTTCATTGTTTAGGAACAGCAAAAAAAAAGATCGAATAAATTTGATGAATAATCAAATTCTGATTGATAGAG